AAGAGGAACCAAGTTCAGTGAGCAGAGAAGTGCCCAAACTTGGAAAATAGTCGGCGACGACGCTGGGCGGCGCCGCTGGCTGGACGTTGAGGTCTGGAAGGTGGGCGAGCAAGCTAGCTGTGACTGGGGTCACATCCACTGAGAATCTTGGAAGGACGACACCGTGCCTAGGACAAGGAGCGACGCCCTGTGGGAGAGGCGAGTGTGGGGAAAAATAGTGATTAGCTCAGCGCCCATCGATGAACCAGGATTGGGGCAGCTGAATCTCAGGGATTGGAACGGCGACGACGCGAAGGCTTCACGACACCTGAGGACCTGTGGAACGCCCTGGATCGTCGAGGATCGACCCAAGGAAGCGTGGGAACCTCACACCATCGAGGGACAGGCGTCGTGAGCCAGGAGTGTAAGGTAGATCATTTTTCCCTCCCATTACCCCTTGTATGAGTAGGCTAGTTAGGCCACAATATTTACTTGTGTATGTGGCAGCAAGACTTTATTACTTTAATAGTAGAATAGGCTGCAAAGCAGCTTGTGTCCAGGACTGTCAGAGAGGACAGTGTGTATGGATGGCAGGACAGTGAAGAAGAGGTGCCGACGTGGTGAAGAGGCCCTCCTGTGAGAGTGTGAGACTCCGGTCTTCCTGCCCATTTGAAGGAGTGTTGGAGGTCGTGGAAGAAGAGGCTGATGATCTCCAGACTTATTATCCATATTCCCATATTCATGTATTACTTGTGATTGTGTGTGTGTGTTCATGTAATTTGCGTCAGTAAATCCACACATTTTATTACTGTGTTTGAGTGTGCCTCCATTTGTGATTTTCTCTATGAGCATACATTTCTGGCTACAAACGATATATGATACACCCACTGAACTGCATTGCTGGGGTGCAGATATAATAACCCAGCTGGCGACCTTGCTAAGAGGAAGATAGAGAAGACAGGCGGGAAAGGAGTTCCTGCAACCTTTTTTTGTCTGGCAGGCAAGACTCAGGGAGGTTATGGTTATAAGGTAGCCTGAGTCTTCCTTCACTCCCCCACGGGTCTAGGCCGGAACTGCTAACAGCAGTTTCCCCGTGTTTGACTGAAGGGCTTCCAGGGTGAATCAGTGGCACCCCCTTTTGTGGTGGAAGCAAAGACCTGCGGAGGTGGGCATTGTTGGTCCTATCTTGTATGACCAAGGAGACTCCGGTGAATCCCGGGAGTCGGAGGGGCTGAGTATTTGGGCCTTTTGAGCCCCTAGCAGTTAAGTGTTAGCAGAGCCCCGGACCGCCCACCCCCACGTGACAATATGTGCAACATGTGTGTACGCAAGTGTCATGCACGTAACAGTGTCCTCGGACAGTATGGATGTTTTACTGGCATAATATAGTGTACATGTTCATTATACATAGGATTAGCGCATAAAAACAAATAAAATGTATTTGGGACTGTGCGCAAAAAATGAACAAAAATATATTCGCGGCAACTTGCGTGCCCCGCCCCGGGCGCCCCACCGGCCCCGGGAGCTTACTGCATGGGCGCATGGGGAATGATGACGTCACACGCCACCTTACGGACCCCATAGCAGCCAAAGTAAGTACAATTTCGAAATTCCGTTGCTATACCCATATACAGGGAGGGGTTTTTGACACTTTCAGAACTAAAAAGAATTTTTTCCCGAGAATTTATTTCTTGCGCACTGAGGGGTGTCATATTTATAGGCCGCGCAGTTAATGGGTTAATAGTTTTCCTTCTACTTTATTCAATATTTAAATTTCTGCGGGGAGCCCCGGCAGCTCCCAGAAGCTATCGGACTGACATGTGCTATATTAGTCTGGGGCCTCAGTCACAAGGAGTTCTGCCTACCAGGAACCGCGAGCCAAAACCTGGCTCCCTAAGAGAGGCACAGAGTGCAATGACCAATGAAAACTTCGCTCTTTGAGAGTAGATTCATGGCTGCCAACGACTGGGGTTTGGGACCCAGAAAGGGTGGCATCCCAAAACAAACCCCTAATTTGTAGAATATTGCACCCCAAAGCTGAAGAGAGCCCAAGAACTCCCCCCTAAGAAAAAAATGCATTAAGCAAAATGTCATCAAACCGACATGCTGCTTGTTTGTGCCCCCACCCCCTCACCCGAGTTGGCTGCTCGCCTACCAATTCATCGACTCTAGCCAACTGTGGCTAACGTTACCTCTGGCCTCAATCTCTTGCCTGTCTTGATTTTGCCCTTGCGGTTGTGCCTGCTGTGTGTTGGTACAGTGGCCAGAAGAAAGCTGTACTTAGGGCTGCATGTGCTAAAGGTTCTCTTCCCTAAGCACCTTGTAATTACTTCCCTTGGGTCTCAGGGTTCTCTTCCCTGGGGCTTTTGATAGGTTCTTCTAGAGTCTCACTCCCGTAGGGGTTGCTTTCGCTTGGCATTGACCTCGCCCTTGGGGTTAGTGGGGGTCTTGGTGCTTTCGTTGGGCCCTGGGTAGGGTGTTTATTGCTTGTTGGGGCACACGGTGCTGTGCAGCTCGCATACCTAGCGGTGGCTGTGTTTCTTTTTGGCCTACTGTTGTGGTGCACTCTTGGGTTTTTTGTTTTCATTTCTTTTCAAGCACATTTCTGCTTAGTGAAGGGCTGCCTGGCTTCTGATTAGGTGCGCCTAGGTTCCTTTCAGTAGTTGTCCTGTGGGTCCCCGAGGTTGCACCCTTCACAGGGGTCAGTTTGCCCGGTTATTGACGGAGTTCAACCGGCTTTGCAGCACCAGTACCTGAGCTTACCATAGGGATACAGCCTGCTGCGGGCCCTGGAAACCCCTATGCTCGAGTTACTATGGATATGTCTTCCGAATCCCCTCTTGCCTTGTGTGAGTTTGAAGGTTGTTCGTTGTCCCTGTCTCAGGGTGACGATCATCTGTTTTGCCTCCATTGTGCTGCTTTTTGGGTTGGCGATACCTTCGACCTGGAGTCGTGCGAGACTTGTTCCCTGCTCGTTCTCCAATTTATCCAATCTTCATTGGAAGATCTTAGAGGTAAAAGGCTGTCGCGTTGCATAGTAGGTTTTTGTTGTTGTAACACGCTAAATTGGTTACCCACACAAATTCCCCGGGGCTGCCCCGTTTTGGTTTTAGGGACCTGGACATGGGGGCATTAATCGCTTCGGCCTTAGTTCAGTCCGTGCCCTCGAGTCCTTCTCCGGTTTGTGTAGTTTCCCCTACTCCTCCCCCCCTCCCCCTTGCTGCTGGGTTCCAAACGTCTGAAGGTTTCGGAGTCGGGGCAGGGTTTAGTTAGGGATAAACAAACATAAGAATATAAGAATAAAGGTACAGTAATTGCAGAAGGCCTATTGGCCCATACAAGGCAGCTCTTATTTTTAACCACCCAATCCCATTCATATACTTGTCCAACTCACGTTTCTTTCAGAAACAATCAAAGGACCCCCACCTCCACCACGTTAAGTGGCAATTGGTTCCATAAATGAACAACCCTGTTACTGAACCAGTATTTACCCAGGTCTTTCCTAAATCTAAACTTAATTAACTTATACCCATTATTTCGTGTTCTGTCTGGTGTTGATACTTTTAATACCCTTTAATATGAGACTCGGACTGCCCCCGGGGGCTGCCCCATTCGATGCGGGGACAGAGGGCATTGAGCCTGCTCCTTCCGCCGAGGCTTCTGGGTCTTTCCAGCGAACCCCTTCCTTGCTTCCTTTCCCTTGGACTCTACTTTTTCTTCAAAGGGTGAGGGCGTGGAGTATGGCTCTGCCCCGAAGCCTCAATTGGAGGCTTTCGGGGCTGGGGGGAGACGTCTTGGGGCTCTCGGGCCCCGTTTAGTCGGGCCTGGGCCTTGGTGCCCTCGGGGTGGGGTTTGCTGTTGCAGGGTTCAGGGTTTTCGTATCCCCCCCGTTTTCTGTACGAGTTTGATTTGAGTTTGGCTTCCCTATGGGTTCGTTTCTGTGCTCCTTTGGGTTCTGCAGCTTCGTCCTTCTAGAGGTTTTCCACCTTTCGTTTATACCATGTGGAGGTTTGAAAGGCCTTTAGTGCATACCTCCTGCGAGACCCTGACTTTGCCTCTGTGATGGACTCGGTCTCTCTCTTGATTTTGGTTCTTCTTTCCCGTATTGGGTGCGTTATGAGGTTCCAGTGTCTTCCTGGCTGGCAGACTGCCCTTTCTTTTCACTTAGGTCATGAAGTTTGAAAGTTTGCAGCTCTTGCTGCTGTCTTTGGTAACATGTCTTGGGTTGACATTAGGACAAGGGGGTTTTGGAGGTCGAACAGAGTCCTGGCCGCCCATTATCTTGTGAACATTCTGGGCCCTTGGCAGCCTTGTGTGGGCAGTCGGTTACAGCCAGTTATCCCATCTTCGTCTTGAGGCACGTGCTGCTGCTGCCTTCCAGGTAAATCCCTCTTTTATTTAACTTTAGGTATCTAGCTCCAGGGAGCTGATGGGGCTTCCCACAGAAAACCAGCATTGAGTGTAATGAAATGCCATTTTCTGGGTGAGCCCTGGAGGCTCCCTGGCACCCTCCCTCCATCCCTCCAGGTTGCTGGTTTTTGTTTTTGCTTGTTCAGTCTCTGAACTGCTGGGCGAGCAGCCGGCTTGGGTGAGCGAGGCCCCTCCCCTCCTCCTCCTGGGGGTGGGGGTGTAAATAAGCGGGGTGTCGGTTTGATGACGTTTTACTTGTTGCATTGTTTTTCTTGTGGGGAGTTCTTGGGCTCTGTTTAGCTTTGGGTTGCAGTATTCTACCAGTTGGGGGTATGATTTGGGATGCTTACCTTTCTGGGTGCCTAACCCCGTTCGAAGGCAGACATGAATATACTGTACTCTCAAAGAGTGGAATTTTTGTAGGCTATTGCTCCCTGTGCTTCTCTGAGGGAGCCAGGTTCTGGCTCGTGGTTCCCGGTAGACAAAACATCATGTGACTAAAGCCCCAAACTAGTATAGCATATATCAGTCCGATAGCTCAAGGGAGCATCCAGGCCTCACCCAGAAAATGGCATTTCATTATATTCAATTCTGGTATTTTCTGTTTCCAGATATAATGAGTGTTCTGATTTGTATCGACACATCGTTCACATTACGACTGATGACTTTGATGCAGAGCGTGTGACCAACCTGACGGCTGTGGCTGTGAATTGTGCAATAGATGGAACTGTGAGTCTCTTTGATTTTTCTTATATACAATATAGTACAGTGGAACCTCGAGTGACGAGCGGCTCTAGTTACGAGCATTTCGAGTAACGAGCGAGCCACTCGCAGACAATATGTCTCGACTGACGAGCTTTCCTACGATTAACGAGCGTTCCCGCTGGTCCTTGGACTCCTCCGACGACAGTTTTGTTGTTGTTTCACAAGACGAGTTTTCCACATAACGAAGTCAGTGCCAAAACGGATTAAACTCGTTAATCGAGGCGCCACTGTATATTGAAGTCTTGGGGTCACATCTTGGAGTAAGAAACTTCAAAAAGTTTGGAGTGGTTAAAATGATGTGTTGCAGGACACCTTGGGCAGAGCTTATCAAGGGATCAGGCAATATATCAGGAACAGCCAGATACCAATTCAGACAACCACCTTATTGCTAAAAATTATCATCACTGCCTCTTTTTTTTTATTTTTTCATTGCTTTGAAAGCTGCCAGATGAAGAAGTATTCAAGTATTGTAACATGTGTATTTTGAAACAGAATTAATAAAAAGAATTATAACACAAAAATCAACTTAACCTTACAAAACACACTACTGGTAATTACTTAAGTGTAGTTACAGGATGATAGCTATGGTCGTGGTGTACCATCTTCCCAGTACTCTTTGTCGAATAATGCTTTTGGCCTCCCCCACCTTTCCACTTAGCTTGTTCACACCATCTACCACTCTGGAAAAGAAAACTTTCTAATATTTTTTCAGCACCTTTGTTTCCTTAGCTTGGATCTGTGTTTGTGAACACAGATTCGTGTAGTTGCTGGTTTCAGGAATTCCTTTTTGTCAGTTTGGCCTATTCCTGTTAGTATTTTGTAAGTGGTGATCATATTACCTCTTTTTCTTCTATCTTCTAGTTTTAGCATGTTTAACGTCTCTAGTCTCTCCTCGTAACTCTTGTTTTTCAATCCTGGAAATCATTTTGTAGCATGCCGTTGCACATTTTCCAGTTTATTTGTGTTTGAGATTTGGGCACCATACAACTGCTGCATATTCCAATTTTGGTCTCACAAAAGTCATGAACAGTTTATTTAGTATTTCACCATCCATATAATTAAAAGCAAGTCTGAAGTTGGAAAGCGACACACATGCTCCTCTCACAATGTTCTTTGTGTGTTCCTCTGGTGACAGCTTACTATCTAAAACCACCCCGAGGTCTTGTTCTTTTTTAGAGTTCTGTAATTCCTTTCCGCATAATTTGTAAGTTGTGTGTGGTCTATTGTCTCTGATTCCACATTCCATTACATGGCATTTATTCACATTGAATTCTATTTGCCACTTGATGCTCCAAGCACTTATTTTATCTAGATCAATTTGAAGGGCATTATCATCGTCTGCATCCCCTATCTTCCCCATTATCTTAGCATCATCTACAAACATGTTCAATCTTTCTGCATTTCTTCCGGTAGATCGTTTATGTAGAGTATGAACATTACTGGTGCAAGAACTGAATCCTGTGGTACTCTGCTGTATCACTCATCCAGTCAGATACATTCTCTGATTATTGCCCTCATCTGTTTGTCAGTTGGTGGTGTTAACAAGACTATGCTTTCAGATATTATTAAGGGGGCATATTACAAAAATATGCTACAAATGAAAACTGGTTCGATTTCAATCAAACTTTTCTGGGGGGGAGGGAGCCCCGTCAGCTTCCCGGAGCTATCCAGGCTGCATGGATATGTACAACTTTTTGGCATCAGTCAAAGTGCTTGGATTTCTTGCCTATCGGGGACCATGAACCAGAACCTGTCCCCCTCAGTGAGACACGAGGAGCAATGGCCTATAGAAATCCCCCTGTGGTTGGGAGCATTCAATATCTGCCATCGACTGGGACAGGCACCCAGAAAGGTAGGCGCCCCAAAACAAACCCCTAGTCTGGTGAAATTATTGCTACCAAAAGCTGATCGAGTGGACAGAACTCCCTAAACAAAATTATCAAACTAGCATGACATCATCACGTCGCCACGCCACGGTCTGCGCAACCCTCCCCTTCTCCCCCGGGAGGGGAAAGGGGGGAGCCCCAGTCCATCTGCACCGGCGATCCAACTGGTAGTTCTTGGCTGATGGAATTGCTGGCCGGTCGAGTGCCTCTGGCTTCGGTTTTTGTTTCAGTTCTGTGCCTTGTGGTGTGGACTGTCTCTACCGGTGGGGTGTGAGCCAGGAGTGAGATTCCATGGTACTCGGGCTGCATGCGCCTAGGGCTCTCTTCCCTAGGTGCCCTGTAAGTACTGCCCTTGGGGCCACCTTCCACAAGTCACCTTACCTTGAGGTTGCCTTGAGGTGATTCCGGGGTTCAGCGACCCCGCGGCCCGGTCGTCGACCAGGCCTCCTCGTTGCTGGACTGGTCAACCAGGCTGTTGGACGCGGCTGCTCACAGCCTGACATATGAGTCACGGCCTGGTTGATCAGGTATCCTTTGGAGATGTTTGTCAAGTTCTCTCCTGAACACTGTGAGGGGTCGGCCAGTTATGCCCCATATGTGTAGCGGAAGCGTGTTGAACAGTCTCGGGCCTCTGATGTTGATAGAGTTCTCTCTCAGAGTACCTGTTGCACCTCTGCTCTTCAACGGGGGTATTCTGCACATCCTGCCATGCATTTTGGTCTCATGTGCTGTTATTTCTGTGTGCAGGTTTGGGACCAGCTCCTCTACTATTTTCCATGTGTAAATTATTATGTATCTCTCCCGCCTACACTCAAGAGAATACAGGTTTAGGCTCTTTAGTCGGTCCCAATAGTTTAGATGTTTTACTGAGTGGATTCTAGCAGTAAAGGATCTCTGCACGCTCTCCAGGTCAGCAATTTCTCCAGCTTTGAAAGGTGCTGTCATTGTGCAGCAGTATTCCACTCTAGAGAGCACTAGCGTCTTGAAAAGTATCATCATCGGTATAGCATCTCTAGTGTGAAAGGTTCTTGTTATCCAACCTGTCATTTTTCTTGCAGTTGTGACGGCTACTTTATTGTGTTCTTTAAATGTAAGGTCTTCCGACATCAGTACACCCAAATCCTTTACATTGCCTTTCTGTTGTATGTTATGATTTGACTGAGTTTTGTACGTGGTTTCTGTTTTTATATTTTCATTTTTTCCGTAGTGTATGAGCTGGAACTTATCTTCGTTAAACACGTGTTATTTTCTGTAGCCCATAGTAAGACCTGATTTACATCTGATTGGAGGTTTGCCGTGTCCTCTATGTTGTCTACTCATATAAAAATCCTAGTGTCATCTGCAAAGGATGATACAGTACTATAGGTTGTGTCCTCGTCTATGTCCGATATGAGGATGAGAAAAAGTACTGGAGCAAGCACAGTACCCTGCGGGACTGAGCTCTTTACAGTTGATGGTCCGGATTTTATTTTGTTGACTATTACACATTGTGTTCTATTAGTCAGGAAATTGTAGATCCATCTGCCTATTTTTCCGCTAATTCCTTTTGAACGCATTTTATGTGCAATAACACCATGGTCACATTTGTCAAAGGCTTTTGCGAAATCTGTGTAAATTACATCAGCGTTTTGTTTGTCTTCCATAGCATCTAGTGCCATGTCATAGTGGTCCAGCAACTGTGATAGGCAAGAGCACCCTGTTCTGAAACCATGTTGTCCGGGGTTATGGAGATGCTGTGATTCCATGTATTTTGTGATCTTACTTCTTAGCACTCTCACAAAGATTTTTATGATGTGCGATGTTATTACTATTGGTCTGTAATTTTTGGCCTCTGCCTTATTTCCTCCTTTATGGAGTGGTGCTATCTCTGCTGTTTTTAATATGTCAGGGATAATGCCAGTATCTAGGCTTTGTCTCCAAAGAATGTGAAGGGCCTGCGATAGCATTTTTTTACAGTTCTTGATGAATATAGAGTTCCAAGAGATGGGGCCTAGTGCAGAGTGCATAGGCATACTGTCTATGGCTTCTTCAAAATTCAGTGGGGATAGGGTGACATCTGATATATGATTTGATGTTGGTATCATATCCATGAAAAATTCATTTGGGTTATCAATCTTCAGTGTGTTCAGTGGCTCGCTGAAAACAGAGTCGTAATGATTCCTCAGTATTTCACTCATTTTCTGGGGGGAGCCCCGTCGGCTCCCCGGAGCTTTACCGGCTGATATGCTAATGTCAGACTTTGGCATCAGTCATGTGTATGGAGTTCTAGGGCCTACCGGGGACCACGAGCCAGAACCTGGCCCCCTCAGAGAGGCAAGGGGAGCAATGGCCTATAGAAACCCCCGTGTGGTTGGAAGCATTCTATGTCTGCCATCGACCGGGTCAAGCATCCAGAAAGGTAAGCATTCCAAAACAAACCCCTATTCTGGTGAAAATTGCTACCTAAGCCGAACTAGTGAATAGAACTCTTCAACAGAAAACACGGAAACTAGTATGACGTCATACGTCACCGCGCCGCTGTCTGCGCAGCTCCCCCCTCCCCGGGAGGGGGAAGGGGGAGCCCCAGACCTCCCACGCCGGCTATCCACCCATCAGTTCTTCGGCTGATGCTATAGGCAATGGTTATGTGCTCCGGCTCCAGTGGTTGTTTCAGCACTGTACCTAGAGTGTGGTGTCTGTTTTCTAGGTGGTGCGTGAGCCGGGTGTGATTCTTCAGTACTCGGGCTGCATGCGCCTAGGGTTCCCTTCCCTAGGTGCCCTGTAAGTACTGCCCTTGGGGCTTGGGGCCACCTTCCACAAGTTCCTTGGGTCCTGCCCCTGCTTGGCCGTTTACCGCTTGGTTTTCGGCCGCTCTTTGTGTGCTCGGGTGTTCTGTCTCCCTTGTTCGCCTTAGAGTAAGGGGCAGTGTTTGCACTGGTGGGGCGCGGGGTACTGTGCAGCTTGTCTTTACCAATCATAGCGGCCGGCTCTGTTCCGCTTGGGTACGCTGTCCTCTTGCGGGGTTTTCTTTTTCTTTTGTTTATATACCTGGTGGGGGGGTCTGCCTTCGTTCTTGCCCCTTGTGTCCCTTGTGTTCTG